ACTGGAGGAGGGTGGGTTACATTGGGCCACAAGAGCCATCAGCACTGGGGGTGGGGGATTCTAAACGGGATGCAGGTGGCAGACCCTAGAAGGCTGCAGCTGGGGTGCAGGAGATGGGCTGATTGTCAGCTGGATCAATGGGTGGCACAAGGAAGTCAGCATCACTTACAGATTGTGAAAGTTGGTATAGAGCAAATCCATTGGGACCTGCACAGTTCAGTGGACGGGGCATTGGCCTGGGATTCAGGAGACCTGGGAGCTAGGCCTGATGCTACCACTGACCTGTTGGGTGATCTCTGTTCTTCTCTTTCCTCTTGGATTGGCTTGTCTATTGAGGTTCTACTCTGGGGGGAGGGAGGAGCAGAGACAGTCTCTCACCGTGTGTATGTACAGCACCTAGCCCTGTAATATAAATAATACCAGGTAAGTAAAACAGAGCCCCCTAGCATCTCTGCCCCAGAGCTGAAACCAACAAAGATCAAGCAAAAGAGGATTCCCACACAGCCATACAACCTCCTGTGCCCTTGGGAAAACGCATGCCATTGTTTGCAGCTATCTGGCCTGGGTGGAAGGGACCTATACGGTGATGTAATTAAAAGGGGATTACAAACCCTTGAGGAAGTGCACATGCAGGGGTTAATGCTGTCTCCTCGGGATCTCAGCAAGGAACCAAGAGCCGCTGAATTAGGGAAGCAAAGGGAAAGAAAATCTTTGGACCTGAATGTTTTAGGGAGTTTTCAACAGATGGTTTAGGGCTGTTAGCTGCGTCACTCGAAAGCCAGGCAGGAGGTGAGAGTCCTGTGCACTGCATCATGACCCACCCCGCACCTGCTTAAAACACTGTCGGGTCCCATCTCTGCATATAAAATGGACAGGGGGCAGACAGAAGGTTCTGGGTTAGTCTGGTCTCCGTATCGGCAAATCAAGAGGGCTGCGGCTTTGCAAAGACCAGGGCAGGGCAAGTTCAGACCCCCGGGAGATGAGTGAGAGGGTTGGATACAAATTGTCTAGGACAGTTGAGTCCACTTCTGGGTCCCACCCGGCTTCCACTCAAGGAAAATGGCAGAACTGCTATTAAAATCGCCCCATCCAGGGCTGCTGATGCCGCCCGGAATCCGCTCTGACAACGTGGCTTAGTGTGTTGCTTCTTCCCCTGGATGTTATGTTTTTGTAACCGGCAATAAACCCAGCGAATGGGTTAGCAGGAGCTGAAGCTGTCCCGTTCTCCAGGGCAGGGGAGTGGACAGATGTATGTGCATTTCATTGCAAAAAGGGGAGGCCACGCCACCTGCCTGGGCGCTATAAATGAAACAGGACCAGCACGGCACTCTCAGTGCGCGTTTGCAGGGAGGTCTGAGAACAGCACCTCTGCATTCCAAACGGCACCAGCTCCCCAAGTGTTACAGGTTCACACGGCAAAACTGGGCCAATTCCAGAAGCGCGAAAGGTGCAAAGGGGTTTCCACTCTGGGTGCAAAACGGAGGTGGGGCGAAGGAAAACCTACTCGAATGTTTTGCAGGGCAGCACCGCGGAACCTGCAAGCCGGGTCTGCAGTATGCGCTGTAGCGAACTGATGGATACCCGACATAGGGCTGAGAGATGGAGCATAGTGCAGGGAAATCATTTCGGGGCCTGTTCCTGCCCCCATGAAAGCTGCCTGTGTATGAGGACGCAAACCAAAACCACAGAGCCAAGCCCCATTCCTAGTGCCTGACCCACATCCTAACTCAGCAGTTGGGACTCACCACTAGCTTGAAGCCTGAGCAGCTGAGCTGACATGCTACGAGCAGAAAATGCTGGTCCATGTGCCAGCTTTCTGTTTGCAGCCTGGATGGGGAGAGGGGCAGTTTTAGTGCCAACGGGAAGGGGCAGGTGGGAGCCCAGCTGTTCTGGGAGGAGGAGGAGAGCGGAGAGAGACACAGCTCTTGTAAACAAAGCTGAGGCCAGGGGTAGCTTCCCCTCCATTCACTTGCCCAGCAAGGTGTGGGGCTGACAAGGGGAGGGGCTCAGAAGATCTGTTGACCCGGCCAAACACTGCTGTGTTTGCCCATCTCTTCTGCAAGAGGATGTCAGGGAGGAAAAGTAATTTGGAAGCTCGGGGGTTGCAGGGGGCTGCTGCTCCGAACAAGCGTTTGAAGGTGTGGATTTGGGGCGGGGAAAGGGCAAAGTTTGCTGAGCTGCCTTGTTCTGAAAAGGGAAAGTCCACACGAATGAAATGGGGCGAGCATGCCCATCTCCCCCTTTTAAAGGAGCCGCGCTCCTTTTTATCTCGGGCCTTTCAAGGCTGGTAATTAAGAACTAATAATGACATATCTGCTTTGCAAGGCTGCCCTTTCATCTCGCCTTGCACACAGGCCTTTATTTGCATCGGGTACCCGCAGCAGATGCTGGACGCTCCCTGCAAAGATAAAAAGCAAGACAGCCGGGCCCAAGCTGGCTCTTCACTTGTGGGGCGGCCACCTTGAACTTTTATGGCATCTTCAAATTGCAGCCGGGGCGAATCCCTCCCGGGGGTGACGTCACTGGTGGCGATGGAGTTTACACCCGGGGTGGATGTGTCCCACTGGCTCTGTATTTCCAATCCACTCCACCAAGACGCTGAGGAGCAGCCAGGTTGCTGAAGCTGAGCTGTACGCAGTCAGGCCCAGATCCTCAACGGCGTTTTGGTGCCTAACTCCCATTGGCGCCTTTAGGCTTTTTGGAGGATCTGGGCCTTACTTCCCCCACGTCTGGTGCAGAAAGAGAGCAGGGTGGGAAGGATTGTCCTGGAGTCTCCAGGAACCAAGGATTAATCTTTAATGAGAGATGATGTCATGGGATGAAACCTCCAGGTAGACGTCCAACTGACACTGGCATTCCTAGCTCTGATGGTAACTTTGGGCCCCATCCTGCATTGTCTATTTGCCCTTAGCATCAATGGCCAAGGAATGCAACATCCAGCCCTAAAATGTGTTCCTTGGGGGGGAAATCTGGAGCACTTGGCAGGTGGTCAAAGGGGCTGGGGTGAGCGTGCACCCCTGGCCGTCATGGGAGCCCAAGAGGGGGCAGCGTGAGCAGGAGCAGAGGGTGATCCCCTGGGAACACCAAAGCCCTTTAATGAGCAGATTAAAACTGGGAAGACAACAGCAAACCCCCTAGCCCTCTCCTCCCCCAATCTGTGATTCCTGCTCTGTGTGTGCGTGTGTGTGTCCCAACCTTTGTGTGTGTGTGTGTGTGTGTGTGTGTTGCACTGCAGCTGCAGAAGAGGACACTTCCACCTACGTGTCACGAGCAAAGCAATCAAGAGAAGGCGCTGCCTCAAATGAGCCCCATAATGACTTTCTCAGCTCTGGGAGTGGGCCCTTCATTTCCCTTGCTTTTATGGCAGGGCTCTCCCCTCGGCAGGCTGGGTCCCTGAAACCTAGTGAAACCAAAGCTAAGGGGAGACGGGGGCGGGGGGGGACATTACACTGTCTTTTGCCTGGCCTTGCAGGGGGAAACGCTTTGCAGATGTTTTGGGCCCTGGCTTGCTCTCTCCCTCAACTCCCATTTCCTCCCCAATAAAAAGAAAGCCACGCTGGAGTCTTTTGACTGGGGCCAGCCCCCCCGCAGGGCCTGGGACGGAGGTGTGACTTTTCCCAGCTCATTAGGAAAAGGTGTACAATTTTCAGAATTTCAAAACCTAATGACCATCTGAATCCCATCAGTGGAGCCTGCCACGATGAGCAGGTAGCAGCAGCAGCCAGTGCTGGGGAAAGGTGCAGTGGTTTGGGTGCTAGCCGGGGACGCCTGGGTTCAATTCCCTGCCACAAACTCCTTGTGCGACCTTGGGCAAGTCACTTAGACCCAGATCCCCAAGGGTATTTAGATGCTTAATTCCCACTGAATTCAACTTGAGTTAGCTGCCTAAATACCTCTGAGGATCTGGGTTGTAGTCTCTCTGTGCCTCAGTTGCCCATCTGTAAAATGGGGATAAAAGCATTTCCCTACCTCACGGTAATGACAATAAATCCATTAGCGTGGGAGGTGCTCAAATGCTATGGTAACAAGGGCCATATCAGAACCTGGGATCAATAGCTCCATAGATACCAGCAGCCGCCCAGGTCTGGGCTGATGAAATACTGTTCCGGATTCTGCCAGTCCTGCGCACACTGCCCTCCGCGAGTTGTCCCACTGAAATCAAGCAAGGTGCTTCTCAGCCTGAGTACAGGGGGGGAGCAGGATCCGACCCTAAGAGCAAAGAGCCCCAAAATGCAGAGGGCATCAAGCCAGAGAGGGGAGTGAGGCACAAGGAAAAGCAAAGGAATCACTGCCTCAAATGACGCTATAAATCAGTGCCACCTGTAACCCTGCAGCCTGCATTCCCCTACTCAGGAGAAACTCCCCTGAAGCTAGTGTTCCCATGTGAGCCAAGCTTCGCTTCCTCGGTCTGCAGGTCCCTGGGCCCCTTCCACAGCCCTAGCTCTGGCTCTGAGGGGTGGGGGTGGCATATTTCCAACCAAGGACCCAGGGCAGAAATTGATGAGGAAAAGGGGGTTGGGAGAGAGGAGAACTTGGGGTGCTTTGCCTCCTGGATTGATGTACATAGAACCTCTCCTCCTCGCGCCGGTTTGGCGCCATATCCATGGGCTGGCAGCTCCACCGGAGCTGACAAGGTGGAAACCATGGGATGGAAGTGACTCTGGAGGTTTGTGTGTGTGTAAACCCAAGGGGCACCCCACCAGCGACCCTGCGATCTTGGGAGATTTCTGAAGCTCCTGTCAAGTGGATCCCCCCCCCCGCCCCTTTCCAGCTCCCCGGCCCATCCATTAATTGGATCCCTTGTTGGCCCGGACACCTTTTTCATCTGCTACTTAGGGGCGAACAAAGGCTCAGCAGGAACCATTAGCACTTCAGGGTCCCTGCTCCGGATATAAGGGAGGGAGCGGGGCTGGCCTGGCTGTATGATCAGCCCCTCACCTGCTGCCGCCGCCTCCTCCCGGTGCAGGGACCCCCTCGCCGATCTCTGGCACCGCCTGGCCATGCTGACTACGACCCTGCTGCCCTTTGGGCTGCCCGCTCCGGCCCTGCTGCCTTACCCCGGCCCCCCGCCCCCCGGACACTCCCCCAAGGCTCCGGCGGGGAAATCCTTCACCATCGACGCTCTCCTGGGCCGGTCAGAGCCCTCGCCGCCGCCGCTGCCTCCTGGCGCCGGGCGCTGGGACCCCGGCTGGCCAGACAGCGCCTGGCCGGGCGGTGCGCTCCAGCTGTGCGCCCAGGCGCATCCCCTCCTGCAGCCTCGGCCGCTCTACCCCGTCTGCTACCCGGCCCTGGCGGGCTGGCGGGCCCCTCTTAGAGCCCCAGGTAAGAGCCTGATGTCCCCCGACTCTCCCCGCACTGCCAGGGCCCCCCACTCGTGGCCAGCACCCCGCGCCTCTCCTCTGAGCTCTTTCTTTCGTCTTTACGCACAGGGTATCTGCTCTCCAAATGCTGCTTCCCAGGCTTCAGAGCCAAGTCGGGCAAATCCAAGCGGGTCAGGACCATCTTCACCAGCGACCAGCTGGCCCGGCTGGAGAAGGAGTTCGCCCGGCAGCAGTACATGGTGGGCACCGAGCGGTGTCTGCTAGCCTCCGCTCTGCACCTCACCGAGGAGCAGGTAAGACAAGCCTGCCTCTCCCCCAGCCCTGTACCTAGAGGGTGGTAGGGATGGCAGTGCCAGGGGAACCAAGGAGGATAGAGCCTCCTCCATCTGCAAAGTTACCTGCCCCATGGTCTGGCTCCCCAGTGTGTCCAGCTCCAAGGGGGACAGAAAGAGACGGATGAAGCCCACCCATGGCTTGAACCCTACATAGGCTTCACAGGTTTCTCGCCATCCTCCCTGGAGTTGGGCACACATTCCCATTGACTTCAATACAAGTTTTCCTCCAAATAAGGGCTGCAAGATGGGGCATTTCCCAGTCTCTCCCCCTCCCTGCCCCCAGCCCAGTGCAGGACTCACTCTCCCATGGGCTTTCTCTAGTTTTTCTATTTTTTGGGGGGAGGGAGACAGTCAAGTGACTGTATACATAAGAGCCTCCCAAGGGAAGGGGAGTGGAAGCCTTCTGGAGCCCAAGCCAGACTGAATAAAGCCCCTGAGAACAGCCTGGGGGCAGGATTCCAGCAGCAGCTCCCATCTAGGAACAATGTGGAAACCTCTGTGAGCTTGATTCTGCCCTCCTTCCTCTGGGCCTGACCCAAAGCCCACCAAAGTCGGTGGGACTTCTCCTGCTGGCTCCAGGGCTTTGGGTCAGGCTCTCTGAGTAGCTCAATGGCTGTGGCTACTCACTGGGAGGAAGGAAGGAAGAATCTGGTTCCAAAGGCTCTTAAAAGCTGGATTTTTTCCACGTTTCTCTTGTTGCTGTGGTCTGGGACAGTAACTAGTCTCTGAAGTCTGAGCTCTCCAAAGCAGGGACCAGTATTATTGCTGATATCACAGCAACAGCTCCGCTCAGGAACTGGGTCCAATGGGTGCTATAGGACCCCTGGTCAGAACCAGTATCTTCCCCCAAAGGCTTACAATCTAAATAGACAAGACAAAGTACTATTCCCCTTCTCCAGGTGGGGAACTGAGGAACAGACAAGCCTGTAGCAGAGCAGGGAATTCACCCCAGGCTAACCATTGGGCCTTTCTCTCACTCAACACCTCTGCATGCTGCTACCATGGCAAGCTGCCCTGATGAGATCCAGCTGATGGTTAGGGCCCAGATCCTGAAAGATACTTAGGCACCTAACGCCCATGGAACTCAATTGGAATTAGACACCTAAAGAACTCTGAGGATCTGGGCCTAGGTTCTCAGCATCTCACAGGAGGGGGAATCAAACCCAGCTCTCCTGAGTCAGTCAACACCCCTTTACCCCCATTCAGGGATAACTGGCTCTCTCCAGCAACTAGTCAAATGTGTATTTTGACTGATCCTGATCTGACCCAAATCAATGGGAGTTTGACTGCCAGTCAGCACAGGATCGGGCCCTGGGATGGGCAGGAGAGGCAGAGGGGGCTGGCTGCCATCTCCCACACCCACACACAAACTTTTCAACCAGGGAGGTGTCTCTGAAGCTGCATCTACCTCGGGTTTTGCACAGGTGCCCATCACCACAGCATCTGAGGCCTTCCAAGGTTATTAGATCTGCTTAGCGAAGGTCCCTGCTAGAGTCTGAGTTTTAAAAGCGAAACGTCTTCTCTTCCAAAGGTAAAAGTCTGGTTCCAGAACAGACGGATCAAGTGGAGGAAGCAGAGCCTGGAACAGCAACAAGCCAAACTGGTGAAGATGGGTCTGGCCACTCCTCAACGGAGCCGGGATTCACAGACCCACCAGGGAGAGGAAGGGGACAGGGACTTTACCAAGGAATCTACCGATGATCAGGAAGGTTTGTCCTCCCCTCACTTGGAGTAATCTACTGCACATCTCTCTGGACAGACTCTCCTGTGCTGTGCTTCGGGTCCTCACCCCTGTACATACTGTATTATAGCTGGCAACATGCATATCTAATATATACAGCGTAGGGATTATTTTTTGCAGTGCAAAAATAGATTAATTTATGCAATTGTTTAAAAAAAATAAAACACAATGACTCTGCTACTCTAGCCGGCTCAGGTTCTTACACCAGGCCTGTCACTGGCCTCTGGGCACCGACATGAATTACGTAGTCATTGGCTCGGTAATGTAAAGCAGTAGCACTCAGTAGGTGTCTTGGAATTTGTGTCAGGATAAAAATGTATCCCAAAGTCATCGCCCCCTTCTTATTTATTTAACAACCCTCCTCCCCCACCCCCTTCATAATAAACCTCTACTTTAGCCTGGAACGCTGCCTCTCTTTGTTCATGGGAACGCACTTGCAGGATTTTTTCATTTTACGGGCATGACTTCTCGTTGTCTAGCCGCTCTTTGTATAAACAACAAACTTTTTGGTGCAGCGGGGAGACACAATAAAGGCACTTCCCTCCCCACCCCTACTCACCCCTGATTTTTCACACCCCTGAGCGACATAGTTCACCAGTGTAAATTTACAGTGTAGACCTGGCCTTGGTTTGTTCTAATCTCTCTTTGTTTCCAGTGTTGTAGCCATGTTGGTCTCAGGATAGGTGAGTGCCGAGGCTATCCAGCCAAATGAGAGCCTGTCCAGGGAATGAGGGAGTTTACACTAGTCCAGACAAAGGGGAGCAGAGAGGCAACGGGACTTGCCCAAGGTCACACACCGGGCAGTGGCAATGGCTGGGAATAGAACCCAGGCATCCTGAGTCCCACTCCCACTCGAGCACACTAAGAAAGAAAAAAAGCAAACAGCGCTGCTGCCTCTGTGGTCGTTATTCCACAGGGATTTTTTGTTAATGCTGAAAGAGAGGTGATAATATTGTGTCTTTCTTACACCTCTTGGCAAATGTGCATTGCCCTTTAAAACAGGGGCAAGGGCTGCAGGCTAGGAGCCCGCTCCTGCACAAACAGCTGGGAGTAGTGCTAGCTTCCAGGTGCCTTATGCGTGGTAAGCACAAGTCTCCCTACTGAGTGTTTTCAGAAGCAGGGCTGAAATTAAGATAAATGTGGTGACTGGCCACATGAGAGGTTAATGCCCTCCACTAGAAGAGCTGGGGGGGGTTAGTACTGTATTAAATGGCGATATTTTTATTTGATTTGAAATGGCACGTAGTGAAAAATGTTTAACTAAAATACATGGGCTTGATTCTACTGCCTTCACACACCTCGCTTTTCAGTACGCATCAAGCACCTGCCCTCTGAAAATCAAGCCCCTTCAAGGTGTCTCAAATTGGGCCCCCAAAATCACCAGTCACTTGAACCGGTTAGCTTTCGTTCCTCTGTGACTCAGTTTCCCACCTGTACAATGGGGATAATAGTGCTACCCTACCTCTTGGGAGAAATATATTAAAAATTGTGAGGCCATCAGATATTCTGGCACTGGGGAGGAAGATGAGTAGTTTAGAGCTTAACAAATTACAAACATCAAGAAAATGGGGCATGATAGCATGGATGTACTGAAGCTGTCAGAAGGTACCTGACTGCCAGGGATCCAATCCAGGTCTGCACAGACTTTAGGAAAAAGGGCCCAGTTCTCAAGTTACAAAACACGCGGCCCAGATCCACACAGGTAATTAGGCTCCTAACTTCATTGAAATCAACAGTAAGTTAGGTACCTAAATACCTTTGAGGAGCTGGGTCTTGCTGGCTTAAATAGGGGCAGGATTGGGCCCAGATGTCAGTAATTTCAGAAGAAAAACAACATGCCTGAGGAATATTTTGCTCTCCTCCCAGTGTTTTACTTCGGACAGTCACAAAGACAAAGGTCCCACACCACGGAGTCACTCCTGATTTAACACTGGTTTGAGTGAGAGCAGAATTAAACCCACAGTAAAACGCAGGGCCCGATTTCTCACACCTCCCGCTGAAATCGGTGGTAGCTGCTGGTGCTCAGAAAAGCAGGTCCATACTCAATACTTCTGAGCCTGTGTGGGCATCATGGGGCGCCGAATCCAGGAGGAAGGAGCGTCTCAGAAACATGGAAGAGTTTGTCTACACTTGGAAGTGCTTTTCTGATTCGGGGAGTGGGTGAATTCAAAGTGCAATAGCTGCCCCTGAATAATTCCATGTGTGGACACTCTTACTCTGGAATAAGAGTGTTCATACATTGAGTGAATCAGAAACAAATCTAAGTGCAGACAGGAAAAAATAGCATCACTGATTTTTATTCAGAACTTTCTACTGAAATGAATGGGGATCTCTGGAGCCAGTTCCCACACCCAGTAAGCCAACAGTATCACAGGGCTGGGCACAGTATAAATACCACCTGGGACTGGCAGGGTTGCATCCTAAAACTGGTAGAAAAGTGCTGATCATGTCTTCAAAACCATGGGGAAAGGCATAACATCCCCCCCAATGATTCCCCAGGCTCAGTAATCCGCATCCCCAGTGATGGGAGGGGACGAAACCCAATGGGATTAGAGAGTTTATTCCGGCAGAAGCGAAACACAAAGCAGCAGCCGAGGTAAGAGAAGAGGATGATCTGATTGAAGCTGCCCTTTGTTCCGACTGTTTTCAGAGCTGGGATTAGCTGGAGGCTCAAAGAGCCCAAACGGTGCTAATGTCTTTAGCTGTCTGGTGTGACCCGATGGCGTGTTTGCCGGCTTGAACTCTGTCAGCTCGGATGCCACTGGCTTTCCTGGGCTCTGCCTACAGACAACAGGAGCGACCCGGGCATTTGAAATAGGAGCTGCGTCCCCAGCGCTGTTCTGAGTCGGAGCAGCACCAGGGGGATCCAGGGTGGCTCTGCAGCTCGCAGATTTGGGCTCTTAGACACAAAACTTTACCAGCGTTTGGGCCCTTCCATATTACAAGCCTGCTATGAGGGACCTGATCCTGCGGTATCCTGCACGCTCCAAACTCAGTAAGAGCTTGGGTGGAAAAGGGGATCTCGGACACTTTACTAGCCCAGCCCAGCCCAGCAGTCCTGACTTCAGGGAAGTTTTGCCCGAGTATAGATTGCCTGCCTGGGCATTCTAGTGGGAACCTATTTGAGTTACCATCTCTAGTTTGATCTAGGTTTGCAATGGACAACATTTTTAAATCCTGCCTAAAAAAGCATCAAAGTGTTTGGCATTAACAGTTTCCTCTCTGTGGCAGGGGGACTCTCTTTCCTGGGTTGGCATCATGAGCTAATTGATGAGGCACTGGACTGGAACTCAGGAGACCCGAGTTCTATGCCCAGCTCTGCCAGTGACTTTGGGCAAGTCACCGTGCCTCAGTTTCCCCGCCCATGCTTTATCTGTTTAGACTGAAGCTCTTCAGGGAGGGAGGGAGGGACTATCAGTGTGCATTTGTACAACACCATGGGGCCCTGATCCCAGCTGGGGCCTCTAGGCACTACCATGCTACAGATAATAATACAAATAAACCACGACAAAGGGCCTGATCCTGAAAACCATCACTAGTGGGACAGATTTCAGTGCCTCCAGAATAGCTGCACTGACTTCAGTGGCGCCATTCCAGGTTTGCACTGGTAGATTTCCTGCAGGCTAATTTCTCTCAGACCTTGGTACCCTCGCATGGGTGCTCGTAGGCTCAGGCCCTACGCCAGGTGCCAAGTGCCTGCCAGACTCATTGCACAACATCCTCACCCGAAGGCGCATGGCTTCCAAGTGAATCCCAGAGCAGCTGAGGCTCGCCATAGCAGGTTGCAACTAGGGCCCGATCCTGGAAGTGCCGGCGGTCTGGAGTCAATGGGAGGTGCTGAAGACCTTGTCAGTAAGCGGAGTGGAGTGGAGTGCTGGTTGTGGAAGGAGAAACCTCTAGCACAGAGGCCACTGGGCCGGAAGGAGGAACCTGCACGTTAATTCAGACCTACCGTAAGCGTTCTTTGCGCTAGTGATTCGCGCATTGGGAGATCCCTCTTTGGGATTAACACGGGGCGCTCTGTAGTTCTTGTTCCCGCTCGGGAGCTCCCATCCTGCAGTCCTCACTCAGGCAAAATGCCCAGTAGGCCCCAGTGGGGTTTTACCAGAATAAGCGCTGCAGGTTTGGGTTCCTGAAGGAGAAATTGATGGACTGGGGCATGACCCCACAAACCCTTACTCACAGGAGGAGGCCCATCAAAATCAACGGTGTTATTCGTGGGAGTAAGGTGTGCAGAGGTTGGCATGGCAGGTACGTAGGGCCAGATCCTCAGCTGGTGCAAACTGGCATTGCTCCGTCAACTCCAACAGGATGGCGCCAACATGCACCAGATGCAGATCTGGCCCGTTGACTCCAATGGAGCAACACTGATTCACACCAGCTGGAGATATAACCTATTGACTTCAATGGAGCTACACGCATTCACACCAGCCGGGGATCTATAATGCCCCTCAGCCACCCCCTCTCCGTACAATATGGGCCCATGCTCCCTCTTTAGCTCATTATAGTTATTCATATTGGTGCCTGCCACAAAATGAACTTCCTCCTGCCCTGGGAATAGCTTTTAAGGTTCCCCTTGGAGGCTATAAAAATGCTGGGAATTGAGGCATCTGCATGTGTATTTTTACAGCCCAGCGATTTCCCCTCTTTGCACACAGGACCCCGGGAGGAATGAAACCGAAGAAAGTGAATTACAACTGCCCGCGAGCTGCTGCGGGGGTCTGTCCCCTCCGACAGAAACAGGCGTGGGGCAGGATAAGGCAGCAACACCTGACACGGGTGCCAAGATAGAGACCAGGAGATCAGCGCAGGGTCATCTTGCCAGCTGGGAACGGGGTGGAGGGGAAAATCAGAACTTGGATCTCAGGCATGACCTGGAAAATGGCTTATTGCCAGCTGCACAAGGTAGTGATCATGGGGAGGGGATAACAAGGAGAGGGGAACCGTATAAGGATGGCTGAGAACACTGGACTCTTTTCCCCATTATTTTTAGG